ACCTTCTTCTCACGCGAGACTTCTACTGGGCCACCAGTATAAATGGGTGCGCAAGTACGTCCGTGCTTGCGAGGTTTGTCGACGTGTGACGCCTGCGCCTTTCGCGCAGGCTCCCTTGCAGTCACTACCGACTCCGTCGGAGTGTTGGCAGTATATGTCTTTGGACTTCGTGTTCGGTCTTCCCCCGGACAGCCAGGGGAACACGGGCATTGTGGTCTTTGTTGACCGCTTCAGCAAGATGGTACATCTTGCTGTGGTACCCGCTGAAGTGACTGCGAAACAGACGGCACGTCTGTTCGTTGACATGGTGTTCAAACACCATGACATGCCGATCGACATTGTGTCGGATCGAGACCCGCGCTTCACTGCGCATCTCTGGCAAGAAGTGTTTACACTTCTTGGGAGTCAACTTTCGATGTCGACTGCGGACCATCCGCAGACGGTCGGGCAGACCGAGCGCGTGAACCGCGTGCTCGTTGACGTGCTTAAGAGCTACGCTCACTCGTTCCAACACTGGAGCGAGTGTCTGCCGATGGCGGAGTTCGCCATCAACAACTCGGTGCATGCCTCGACCGGGCATACACCGTTCTACGTGAATGCCATCAGGCACCCACGCCTCCCGAGTCTACTCGGGATGGTGGCTCCTTCCTTAAGTGGGGGAGGATCTACGACTGCAACGCAGCAGCCGCAGAATGCCGCTGACACTTGCACAGTGTCAGCCGCGACCACGCGCAAGAAGAAGAAGAAGCACGCGTCTGTGCAGGGCACAGACGCCGACAAGAGCAAGAAGAAGAAGAAGAATGGTTCTGTGCAGGGCACCGACACCGCGAAGACGAACGCAGAGGCCGGGCCTACTGCTGGAAACGAGCTGAGCGAGTTCAGCTCGGACGCAATCAACTTCGTGCAGCGCAGACAAGCCGTCATTCGGTTTGTCCAAGACGCTATAGCAGCTTCTGTCGACCGACAGAAGCTGAACGCAGACAATGTTGGCAGGGGCAACACTAATGAATTCGAGAAGGGTTCATTAGTCTTGTTAGCTACTCAAAACCTGCCTAAACATGCAGTTTCCGACTTCGGGGCGAGCAAGCTCGCTCCGCGCTTCATCGGACCGTTCACTGTGCTGGCACGGCACGGCAACGCCTACACACTGGACATACCGTCTAGTATGCGCCTCCATCCGACCTTTTACGTCGGACGGCTGAAGCCATACCGGCAGCACGAGCCACCTAGTTCGGCTGAACCGAAGCAGAAGACTCGGCGGAAGCCATCATCCTCTCCAGCGCGAAGTCGCGCTGGAGCAGCGGGTCGGGCTAATGGTCCAGCTCGGCCGGAACAATCGAGGTGGTCTGGGAGGCCGCCACAACCGTCTTGCTCGAAGACGTCCCGGACATGGTGAGGGCATACGAAGCCCACCATGCGCTACATACTGGAACGTAATGCGAGCGCTGCTGTTAACAGCAGCGCCCGAAGACACTTCGAGGGCAGACGTAGGTACCTGTCCCCGCGGCAGCGACGCGCTTCGCACGTTGCCGTGCATGCTACTCAGCAACAGAGAGGTTCTCCGCTGCTGCGCCAGCGGTCTTCAACTTCGACGCGCTCGTTCCATTACGAGCGCGCTCTCTTCAACGTCACGCATTGACCAAGCGGTCAATGGTGGTTGACGTGCCGGGACCGGCACGTCTAACCTTGACGGGGGGATGGTGTAACGGGGTTACACGCACAAGTGGCTACAGTCACTTGTTACTCTAACAGATACGATGTCTGTTAGAGGTTTGAACACTTCCTCGACCTTGGTGTAAGGTACACCAATGGCTACATACATTTACGACCACCACGATGGGTGGTCCATGCACATTTAGGATTCCTATTGGCTGAAAGCAGCATCTTTTAGCCAATGAGTGACTTGCATGTTAGCAGAATCCTGCCAACCAGTCGTTGGCAGATTCCTAGTTTAGAATATTACATTTAGAGGAAGTCAGAAACATAAAACAAAAATAGCAGTTCTCATCTTTTACCAAAACCCGCTACTTGGAGTCTTTATCTTGTTTAAAGTATACTCGTGGATTTCGAGTATACTTAACTCAAGTAAAAGAAACCCACGCTTCCTCATACACGTGCGCATACGTGTAAGCCGTAGTAGTGAGCCAAGGTAGGCCCACTACAAACACAGTATGGGCTGTGGTAGCTTCTGCCAAGCCTCGCAGCAAGAATTTTTTCGATTTTGTGCGAATGAAAACCGACCACAGACGACAGAACGAGACTGAACCCGGACATATGGCTGTGATGACCAGACGTCAGGCGAGAGCAAAGGAGAAACACGTCCGGTTTGCAGATGAAGTCTCGGTCACCGATCAGGGAGACGCATCTCACCGAGTAGGTGTGCCGAACGAGTCTCAGAATGAAGCAGAAGCTTCACCACTACGCGCCGATATGTCACCAGCCCCACCGAACGCCGAAGACATTGACCCGCTGGGAAGAACGCCGAAGGAGAATCGCCACCGCTCAAGATGAAGAGTTACGGTGGTCGAATCTGAAGGCAGTGTTCCGGGGAGATGATGCAAAGATTGGATACAGAGCAGCACGAGATTCGTGGAAAAATGGCGGACCAATTTGTGTTGAGCGAGGACGATGTGCTATATTACACTAGAACGAGCCGTCGTTCAAGTGACGACGAGCAAGCCGAGTTAAAGATGAGACTCGTGGTACCCACAACGATGATCCAAGAGGTCCTGCAGAGCTGTCATGACTCACTCGAAGGCGGTCATACGCTACATCGAGCGGCGAGAGACTATTACTGGATCGGCCAGTATGCCGATGTGGAGAAACACGTTAAGTCGTGCCCTGATTGCAGTTCAAGTAATAGCCGACCTCAGTTCCGCGGGTACTCGCCAGGGAACATCCTAGCCGAGAGGCCATTCCCACTAGTCTCTATGGACTTCGTGATACCGCTACCGAAGAGTCGCCGTGGCAACACAGCTCTCCTGCTGTTCCAATGCTCGTTCACGGGATTCGTGATGGGCAAAGCCATGACCGACACTACTGCCTTACTCGTTGCGCAAGCTTTCGAGGAGTGTGTCCACCGGCGCTTTGGGGCACCGTCCTTGATCCGTCATGACCGAGATCCTCGATATATGAGCGAGGTCTTCCAAGCCTTCGCAGAAATGATGCAGTCTCGGTCGAGAGCAACTCTGAGCTACCGACCGCAGGCCAACAACCAGCAGGAGAGATCGGTGAAGATGATCATGCAGTCAGTCCGCGTATACGCTGAAGACCCATTGCAGCAGCATTGGGACGAGATCGCCGAAAGACTGATCTTTGCCATCAATAACTCCCGTGATACGACGAGGAAGGAGACTCCGTTTTACCTCGTTCATGGGTGGGATGCACAGTCGACGCTCAAGGCAATGTCCTCGTCACTCAAACGAGACTTCGGTAGCCAAACTGACGCGCTAGCATGGCGCCGAGAGGTTAACCGACAGCAGTAAATCGCCCTGAGGATGGCCAAGGAGTACCAAGCCGCGGTGAAGGCTCGGAGAGCGGGAGAACACAATGCATCGCTTGGCAGGAAGGAGAAGGAAACTACGGCAGGCGTGAACGAGAATAGAACCTCGGTCGACCGAGCACCGAGTTCCCCTGACAATGGTGGAGCTGCAGTGACGAGAACGAGGCTTTCTTTGCAGCCCGGGAGCAGAGTGTGGTTGTACATGGAGCGGGTTCGACCAGGACTGACCAAGAAACTAGCCCATCGGTGGCACGGACCGTTCTGCGAGAAGAAGAAGGTCGACGAGTTTGCGTATGAGTTGGAATTACCCGACCGAAGTGGACGGTGGTGCATGTTTCACGACTCAAGTCAGTGGACGAGTTCGAAGGCCGACCGAGGGTTCGTTTGGCTCGTGAGGTCGCCGAAGACACTCGTCTTGACTTCGACGACGAACTACTGCCTGAAGATAGTTTTGAGCTGGACCACCTGGACGGCGAGTATGAAGTCGAGGCTATCCTCGATGACCGGACACCGTTGTCAACGAGTACTCACCGGGCCGTCCGAGAGTTCAAGGTGAAGTGGGTCGGCTATGACGAGCCGACATGGGAACCAGCGTCCAATCTGTCGTGTGGTGGATTACCTACGCCGGAAGCGAAGCGACTGACGTTTGTAAATGGTCCAAGTGGCCGACGAGGAGTAATTCTGCGCCCCAACGAGGATTGAACTGCTCGCGGGGGCAATCCATCCCGCGATGTTAGACGAACGAAGCTACTGGAGACGACTATTGACCTGTCTGCGGGGGCTATCCAGCTCGCAGGGACAGACGAAGAATGCCACTGGAATTTGCATGCTGCATGTTATGTGAACGAAACAAGCCAAAACGGAGCCGTGGGGCAGCTTAAGATGCGAACAAACCTCGGTGAACCCCGTATTAGATGAAACGAGTGACGGCGAAGCTCAAGGAGGGGTGGCCGAGGTTCCGGACGCCGTTATTTAGCGGTGAAAGAGTGCACACCGGTGCGTCAGACTTTGACTTACGATTATATATGGATTTATGATGGATGGAGATTTTGAAATGGAGCTAAAGACGATAGAAGACGCAAGGGATTATCGGTCGAAACCCCTGCAGGAGAAGGAAGTGACGATTAAGCTAATGAGAGGGCAACCGAGACTTCGGAAGCAGCGCTTCATACAGAAAGGATCCGATTACGCACCCCAAGCCGACGGGTGAGTATTGAGCTAACGACGAAGTGATCAGAGAACGGGGAAGTGTCATGGCTACGAACCGATCGTTCGGCGCAGCCACAGTGCTCAAGGACCGAGACGAGACTCTGGGAACCGCGACCAAGCATTGGAGGTGAAGAACGTTTACGCGAGCAGGAATGACGAAATGGAATGAACAACATGACATTATTTTGGATTGGGATAGCACATGCAGTCTCGCCTAAATCACGAACCTCGGTCGACATGGGAAGAGAACATGTGCGAAATGGTGAAGCTGGAACGGGGCCTAACGAGGCTAAGTCTCCATCACAGCCTGAGCCAACACGCTCAGACTTGACCCGGCGGCGGAAGAAGCTTCGCCCGACTCCTTCGTCTCCTCATCGCGGCTAAGAGAGCGAGAGCAACGAATTCGGCCACCCACGGAGCGACCACCATCGAAGTCCGCAGAGAGGATTCAACCACGACCGACGACGCCACGGTGTCCCGAGTCGATCCGTTGGGGACAAACAACGGGACGTCGTTGCAAGGGGCGAAAGCCGTGTTGTAGGGTGGTTTGCCGGCTCTTGGAACCAACAGTTCCGCCACGGCTCGCGGGCGTCCACGTCCGCCACCTCGGAGGCCCAGTCGTCGGTAGTGGGGACCCACTCCGTCACCTCGAACGAGTATTGCAGGTACGACGGCTCCAGCAAAACCTCGGTGCGGTGCTGTGGAGGTTGTCCGTCGTACGTAATGGCCCCATTCCACACCTTGTGGAGCATCTGGCCTCGCAAGCGATCTGCACGATAACTGCGCTCTCGGTGGTACTTGGATCACGCTTGTCGAAGCGCTAGGACTTGCACGTTGCGCTGACCGAGGGTTCTGGCGAGGTTGTCGATATACGCCTTGACGGCTTTACCCCTAATCCAGTGGCGACGCTCCCACAAGGCGAAACCAAGGTCGCCCCTCTCGGTGGAGTGGTAGGAGTACCCCTGGAACTGCCGCCATAGGCGGACGAGTAGAGCTCGACCAGTTGCACGACGGGATATAGCCAGCGAGGATGGAAAACCTGTCGTATCGATCAAACAAGGCCCATCTGGGAAAAGCTGGCGCAACACTTGGAAGGGGTGAGCAGGATCCGTCCACGAGCCAAACTCCTCGATTCCATCCACCGAACTGGGGGCGACCAAGTCGTCCTCGAAGGCGAGGGGGACACTGGCGTTTTGGATAAGATGCCAGCATTCCGACGCCCCGGGTGCCGTGAAACCCGGCTCCAGGAACAGGGTAGCAAGACCACTGAGCTTACACGATCCAGGAGCTACGTCAGAAGCGTCAACCACGGCTGGGGCAATCGAGGCAGGTCCAGCCCTCGGTGAAGCTGTCACCGTTACAGTTACCATCGCCCGAGCGTGAACAGAGGCCAACCGAGTGTGGAGACGACTCGGGAGTGACACGGTGGCCGCTTGTGAAGCTACAGGAACCCCGGTCGCGGTAGCCAGAGAAAAAGGAGCCTCCGAAGGAGCGACAGGTTGCGCCACCGAGGTTTCCTCTTTTCGTCGGAACCGAACAGCTCCAGGAACAACGCTTCGCGGACCTCGGCGTGACGCACTTGTTGCGCTCGGTGCGCGACTTCGCACCGAGCTACTTCGACGATGTGTTCGTCCACAGCCGGGCTGCGGACGGGATGAGCGATGTTGAGATACACAAGGTGCATCTCCGGAAGCTGCTTGCGCTCATGCGCAAGCACAAGCTCTATGCGAACCTGAAGAAGTGCATCTTCGGGGCGAGCGACATACCCGTGCTCGGGTGTCTCGTTGGGAAGAACGGTGTCCGCCCTGACCCTGAGAAGGTCAGAGTGATCAATGAGTGGCCGACGCCGTCGAACGTCAAGGAACTGCGGCAGTTCCTTGGCTTGGCCACGTACTTGTGCAAGTACGTGAAAGACTACGTGGGCATGATACGCCCGCTGTCACAGCTCCTGAAGAAGGACACCGAGTGGGTTTGGACTGCTGAGTGTCAGCAGGCCTTCGATGCAGTCAAGAGGGGCTTGACTGAGGTGCCGATCTTGGCGGTGGCCGACCAAGATCGCCCGTTCCACGTAGTGTGCGACGCATCCGACTTCGCAATCGGATGTGCGTTGATGCAGCACGATCACGAGGGTCGTGATCGTGTCGTCTACTACCAATCGCGTCAGCTGAAGCCAGCTGAGCGCAACTACCCGGTACATGACAAGGAGCTCCTTGCCATGAAGTACGCACTCGCGAAGTTCCGAGTGTATCTACTCGGAAGCAAACCGTTCGTGGTCTACACAGACCACACGTCGCTGCGGACAGCTGTGAAGTCGCCGCACATCTCGCAACGGATGGCGAGATGGCTCTCATTCTTCGCAGAGTATAACTTCCGGGTTGAGTACAAACCCGGAAGACTCAATGTGGTGGCCGACGCGCTCTCGCGTCGACCTGACTACGCCACGACTGATGCCGACGTCAATGCCATTGACGCCGTGCGATCGAGCACCCCAACGTCGTCACTGTTGGACGACGTGAAGGTCGCGTACGCGCACGACGCGGACGCGAAGCTCTTGCTGACCTATGGCTCAGCGCCTTCTGACAAAGCTCGTCAGAAGCTGCCGAAGCATCTTCGTGCTCGTGCACACCGTTATCGGGTGCACGACGGGTTATTACTTTACAGTGCAGTCGATGACAACGCGGACCGTGTTGTCGTTCCCAATGACCACGACCTGCGACTCAGGATCATGTATGAGTATCACGATGCACCGACTGCGGGGCATCCGGGCCGTGAGAAGACATACCTTCTTCTCGCGCGAGACTTCTACTGGGCCCACCAGTATAAATGGGTGCGCAAGTACGTCCGTGCTTGCGAGGTTTGTCGACGTGTGACGCCTGCGCCTTTCGCGCAGGCTCCCTTGCAGTCACTACCGACTCCGTCGGAGTGTTGGCAGTATATGTCTTTGGACTTCGTGTTCGGTCTTCCCCCGGACAGCCAGGGGAACACGGGCATTGTGGTCTTTGTTGACCGCTTCAGCAAGATGGTACATCTTGCTGTGGTACCCGCTGAAGTGACTGCGAAACAGACGGCACGTCTGTTCGTTGACATGGTGTTCAAACACCATGACATGCCGATCGACATTGTGTCGGATCGAGACCCGCGCTTCACTGCGCATCTCTGGCAAGAAGTGTTTACACTTCTTGGGAGTCAACTTTCGATGTCGACTGCGGACCATCCGCAGACGGTCGGGCAGACCGAGCGCGTGAACCGCGTGCTCGTTGACGTGCTTAAGAGCTACGCTCACCCGTTCCAACACTGGAGCGAGTGTCTGCCGATGGCGGAGTTCGCCATCAACAACTCGGTGCATGCCTCGACCGGGCATACACCGTTCTACGTGAATGCCATCAGGCACCCACGCCTCCCGAGTCTACTCGGGATGGTGGCTCCTTCCTTAAGTGGGGGAGGATCTACGACTGCAACGCAGCAGCCGCAGAATGCCGCTGACACTTGCACAGTGTCAGCCGCGACCACGCGCAAGAAGAAGAAGAAGCACGCGTCTGTGCAGGGCACAGACGCCGACAAGAGCAAGAAGAAGAAGAAGAATGGTTCTGTGCAGGGCACCGACACCGCGAAGACGAACGCAGAGGCCGGGCCTACTGCTGGAAACGAGCTGAGCGAGTTCAGCTCGGACGCAATCAACTTCGTGCAGCGCAGACAAGCCGTCATTCGGTTTGTCCAAGACGCTATAGCAGCTTCTGTCGACCGACAGAAGCTGAACGCAGACAATGTTGGCAGGGGCAACACTAATGAATTCGAGAAGGGTTCATTAGTCTTGTTAGCTACTCAAAACCTGCCTAAACATGCAGTTTCCGACTTCGGGGCGAGCAAGCTCGCTCCGCGCTTCATCGGACCGTTCACTGTGCTGGCACGGCACGGCAACGCCTACACGCTAGATATTCCATCTAGTATGCGCCTCCATCCGACCTTTTACGTCGGGCGGCTGAAACCATACCGGCAGCACGAGCCACCTAGTTCGGCTGGCCCGAAGCGGAAGCCCCGGCGGAAGCCAACCTCTGCTCCAGCGCGTGAACTCGCTGGGCCAAGCGCACGACGCGACCTCCCACGTCGACAGAGATGCCCGACGCGGTCTGCGAGGCCTGAGCAACTTGAGCTCTCAGGGTTGCCATCTCCTGCTTCAGAGCGGCGAACTCACGGCTCTGAAGCTGCTCCTGACACGACGTGGAAACAGATTTTTGTCTGCACCCATGTCCGACCCCATGGATACGTGGACCCTTCGGTGAGCTGTGATTGGTCGCATGAGATGGAGATCCGGTAGAGACGAGTGTGACGTGTGGATTGTGGATGTGTGTGGAGATTTGGTGGGACCCGGCACTTGCAGCAAGCATGGGCTCACAGGATTGGAGATGCGCCCGCCGGATGAGCGCTCATATTCGGTGCGGAGTCACGCATCCTGTCCGTCCGCCGACTTCCCTAACAGCAGGATAGGCCCAAGGTGCGAAAGTGTGGCCAGCGAACGTATCCTGGCCACTGCCTGCATTGGCTCAGTCAAGTTGTCGGACCACCCCACTGAATCGCCCCACCAGACATGGTCACACGCGCACAAGACCCTGTTGGATGAAGCCTCGTGTTGTCCGGACCGGATCGTGGTGCACCCGGTGACGGCGTACCGAATGGAGAAGTGCCACACCGGATGGGGACGGACAGGATCGTTCATTCGGTCCGCTCCCCGTGCCCACATTGGATGTCGATGTTAGAAATGGTGACTTGGGTTGCAGGTCGAACTGCAAGTTGCAGTCGAGCTGCGGGTTGCTGCAAGTTGTAGGCGAGCTACAAGTTGCCAGCGAGCTGCAAGTTGCAGCAGACGGGAGCTGGAAGGTGATCTGCGCTTTGCTTGTGGCGGTAGCATTGCCACCTGCATCTATTTGTATTTGAGAGACTGGAGATAGCGCAGGAGAGACCTAGGAGACGTAGGAAGCAAGGGCTACGAAGGGTATGCGCTAAACGTTCAATCTCAATCACTTCTGCTTTTACTTTCAAGCCCACAAGCGTCCTACACCGTCGCGACACCTTCGTTCAGGTTATGAGCCCAACTACCGACGTCGCTGACGACGACCGTGATCTTGGCTCCCTGAGTAGCGACACTGACCGCGGAAGGGTTAGTTCTCCTGAGGGAGGTGAAGACGAAGCCAAGGCAGTGCTACGTCTGCGGATCGGAGAAGCATCTCAAGGTGACATGCCCCGGTCGGAGCAATGTCAGCGGAAAACGAGGCGCGGACTACACGCTGGCCGTGCTAGATACGGCTCTGGTAGCGGCAGACAGTCGTGACAACAGGGACTATTGGATTCTTGACTCTGGATCCAGCCGACACCTCGTGAACGATGAGCGGCTGCTCGAAGACCCACGAGCATGCGCAAATGTATGTGTTGGAGCTGGTGGTGAAGAACTGCTTGTTGAAAAGCAGGGAAGTGTCCTTCTTCAAGTCGATGTTAGGGGACAAACGAAAATGGTCCGACTTGAGAACGTGCAATTTGCACCCAAGTTGGCAAGGAACCTAATTTCATTCGGGTTACTGGAGGCGAAGGGGTATGCGCTGTCGTATCGCGACGGCAGACGGATTCTCGCGCGCCGCGATGGAGGAAGTTTGACACCATCGAGCGCATGGCGCTTGGGTCTGGAATCACGTTGACTGATAAGACGCGAGAGCGCTGCTTGACGTGTGCTCAAGGGAAGCAGCCGAAGAATCCACAGAGCAAGAAAGACACGGGGGCAAACGCACCAATTGATACCATCGGTGGTGTCATTTGCTCCGGTCTGAAAGGACCTGTTACGCCTCGAGACCGCTGTGGAAACCGATACTTGGTCAACTTCGTCGATCACCGCAGTAACTACTGCCGAGTCTTCCTGGCACGCACAAAAGACGCAGCAGCCGAAAAATTCAAGCTGTGCCTGAATTTTTTCGAGAAGCAGTTCAGCTATCGCATTCATGTGCTTCGCACGGATGGCGGTGGTGAATATCGCGTGCTGGACCCGTTTTGTGGTGACGCTGGTGTCCGCAGGCAGATCTCGGAGGCCAGCAACCAAGCGAGTAATGGCAAGGCCGAGAGGATGTATCGTACGATTCTCAACATGGCGCGCTGTATGCTGTTTGAGTCTGGCCTGCCGCTCAAATTTGGGGGGGGGCGCTGTTCAATACGCTGCCTACGTGCTCAACAGGAGCCCAACCAGTGCAAACTTCGAGCGGCAGCCCCCACTTGCGGTTCTCACAGGTCACACGCCGAGTCTTGGAGAAATTGTGGCATTCGGATCGCCGTGTACTGTGCGCCGGGACCCTCTGAAGAAAACGTTTGCGCAGCGCGCTCAGCCCGGGATCATTGTGGGAAGTCTGATGAAACCAAAGGGTTCAGCGTTTATCTCCCCAACATCAAGAAAGTTGTCGTGACTCAGCATAGTCAGAATATTACGACGCTGTCCGACAGCCAGAACACGCAGTGGCAGCGTGAGATGCTGGAGGCCAGCCAGTCGAGCGACTCTGTCGAAGCAAGCACCGGCGGGACCGAGATTTCCGGCCCGAAGAAGAAACGGCGTTCGGCCAGGTTGAAGCAGAAGACTTCGGTCGGTGCGGCACCTCAGGAGACAAGATCCACTGCAGGCCAAACCTCGGGAAAGGCAGCCAAACAGGAGGAGCACGATGTAGCCAACGCCGTTCGCGAGGCCGACCCGCGGAATTATGGTGAAGCCATGAGAAGCAGCATGCTCGAGAAGTGGATCGACGCAATGAATGTAGAGATCGAAGCTCTGGAAGCCAACGATGTCTGGACAATCGAGTAACGCACGCCGAACGCACATGTACTCCACACAGAGTGGGTGCTCAAGACCAAGATGACAGCGGATGGTGCGGTCGAGCGCTACAAAGCGCGACTTGTTGCCTGTGGCAACGAGCAATTCTTTGGTGTGGACTATACAATTACTTTCGCGGCGGTGATGGAGCTTGGGACCGTCAAGGTTGTGTTAGTTCTCGCACGACGCTGGAAGGTACCTGCTAAGCATGGGGATATTCCGAATGCTTACGTTATGGCTGCCACGGAGGACGAGCTGGAGATTTTCATCGAGATCCCACCCGGTATGGAGATTCCTGACAGCGTTTTGACACTGTTCGGTGTGAAGCGAAAAAATAAGCTCATGCTGAGACTTGCAAAATCACTCTACGGGCTCAAGCAAGCCGGTCGTCTCTGGAGTCAACTGCTCCACAACCATCTCCTGGCAGCGTGCTTCACTCAAGCAATCTCGGACATGTGCCTTTACTTCAAGCATGACGGTCCCGACATGGTTGTCGTTGGAGTGTACGTCGACGACCTTCTGGTGACCGCAACGCGCGAGGAGTTGGTGGGCAAGTTCTTTGAGGACATGGCGGCCCTATCGATAAAGAACCTCGGATATGTGAGCCGATTCCTTGGGATGCGTGTTCGCTATGATGATCACCATGGGTACGAACTCGACCAAGAGGTAGCCATTGACGAACTACTGCGCGAATTCGGCATGGAGAATGCGCACGGAGTGCGAACACCGATCGGAGAAGAGTGCAACGACAAACCAGCACTTCAGGAGGAGTTACTCCCCGCTGTGGACAAAAGTGGGGGCCTACGCTCCGGCGATTTCAGTCTTTGGTCGGTAGCCTGCTGTGGCTTGCACGCTGTACAAGACCGGACATCGCTTTCGCGGTCCACAAAGCCACACGTCAGACGCATCAACCTCGTCTGGCGGACTGGAAGCTATGTAAGCGTGTGCTTCGCTACCTAAGTGGCTCAAAGAGCGTCAAACTGCGAATGAAAGGCTGCAATCCTGGCGCGGCGCTGCGACTCGAAGGATTTAGTGATGCAGACTTCGCGGCGGACAAAACCGACCGCAAGAGTGTCACGGGAGGCGTCGTGCTACTGGACGGGATGCCGATTCTGTGGGTGTGTAAGAAACAAGGTGGTGTCGCGCTTTCGACTATGGAAGCAGAATTTACGGCTGAGTCGCACGTTTGCCGTGAATTGCTGGGTTTCCGCCAGCTACTGCTGGAGATTCGCTTGCCGGTGCTGGAGCCGATGCCGCTCATGGTTGATAATCGAGCGGCGATAAAGCAGCTTCGAAGTGAGTCGACGTCGGCCAGCGCAAAGCACATTGACATTTGCATCAAGTTCGTGTACTCATACACTCACCAAGGAGTTATCGAGCCTGTCTACGTGGAGTCGCGACTTCAGCTAGCTGATTTGCTGACGAAGACATTGTCGGCGCCGCGTCTCAGCGAACTCCGCGACTTACTGCATTTGAGTGATCCCAAGAAGTCCAGGTACGGCGATGCTGCCGAGGAGGAGTGTTAGAAATGGTGACTTGGGTTGCAGGTCGAACTGCAAGTTGCAGTCGAGCTGCGGGTTGCTGCAAGTTGTAGGCGAGCTACAAGTTGCCAGCGAGCTGCAAGTTGCAGCAGACGGGAGCTGGAAGGTGATCTGCGCTTTGCTTGTGGCGGTAGCATTGCCACCTGCATCTATTTGTATTTGAGAGACTGGAGATAGCGCAGGAGAGACCTAGGAGACGTAGGAAGCAAGGGCTACGAAGGGTATGCGCTAAACGTTCAATCTCAATCACTTCTGCTTTTACTTTCAAGCCCACAAGCGTCCTACACCGTCGCGACACCTTCGTTCAGTCGACGCACCAAGAACAAGTCCAGTGTGTTCACACAGCGGCATCGATCCGAACCGGATGAGACCAAGATCCCCCAAGATCCACAGGCGGCACCGAATGAGCCGCAGATCCAAGGGAGAGGACCAGTTTCAAGACGAAGAGACGGTGTACCCAGATACCTCCGTCATCATCTGATGAGTGTACCCGAACAAGTGTCGCCGTCAACAAGTCTCCTCATACCGAAACCAAGACAAGCATACTGAAGAACTGCCAAGAAGCACAAGCATACTCAAGACAAGCGAAGCATAGTTAAACCTACATTATAGTCAGCGAAGTGATAGAAGATAGCTAGCCAGACGCAAGATCTAAACAGAAACCAATTTGCCGAAGAACACGCGGACGACTCTGTGCTCGGGGCAGAAGTAGCACCCCGACTTTGACCTCTTTAAGAGCCCTCCAGGAGACTGCCTGCGCGCGGTCTAAGCCAGTTTAGGGACGCTTCCAAGGCCTCACTGGTGTAGCGAGCACTGGTGTAGTGGGGACTCAAAGGTACCAAGGCAAAGTCGGCAGTGACTGGGGTGTCGCACCCCGGAGTGACCTGTGAGAGCTTTATTTTCTATTTGCGTGCTCTAACCGGGCATCCATTTCATATTCCCTACTGTGTGTCTTTGGTGGTTGAGGTAGTCACACACCCCCAGACCGAATTGATTGACTACTATGTGATAGGACTGAATTATATTTTGTATTGTTCCCTCATTCTGTGAGGGTGGTGCGCGTAAGTGAGTGTGCATCCAGGGCTGGCCAGTGCCTTGGGTGACGGCTCCGAAGTTGACTGGTGTATAGACCCCCCACCCAAGGGTCTCAAAGAATAAGTGGTGGCTGTATATTGTGTGACGTTTAGCTCGGCATTGTATTTCTGTGTGTTGGTTATTCTGAATTACGGATCTGACTGTGGTCCCTTTCATTCGGTCTGACCTTCTGTTCATTCGGTGTGGTTTATCCAAGGAAGACACCCAGCAGACTTTATTCTGTATCACAACAACTCAACTCGGTGAAGTCCGGCCCACCAAAGGTAAACGATACCTATAGGGGTTGACACAAGGACACACGCCAAACCCCGGACCGCATTAATGCGATTCGGTGCGTCCAAGCGGTTCCAGGCCCGGGTCATTCAGTGTCCCGTGGGGTGCTTATCGCGTGGACAATCTCTGGTACTCCGAACCCGAATTTATTCGGTCCGGCATAGTGCGCTATACACCCTGGACGATAAAGGGTTCACCCGCCTCGCGTCAGCTGGTGAGCGTGCCCGGATTTGGTTGCCTAGGGTTTCACCGCGAGTTGTTTGTATTGATTTGGTCTTAAGGGGTGTTTCTACTGACTACCTGGACTAACGGTTTGGTTATGACTGGAAGGAAGGAAGCACGTGAAGGTGGACGCGGAGGCGGACGCGGTGAAGCGTCGCGTCAGTCGCGTCGAGGACAAGGGCTGCCGCCGGAGGAGCACAAGGCCCTGGACGACGTTGTCCGGGAGGCTCGGAAGGCTGGTGCTGAGAAGCGCAAGGCGGCCCTGGAAGAGAAGAAGAAGGCGTCGGCGGCCGTTCAAGATCAAGCGGCCCCGGAGTCCTCCGTTCTGGATGCGCACCAAGCAAACCAGGATGAGGCTCCGGAGGCGGACTCGACCGAGTCTGTGCCGTCGGCACCGAATGTGTCCCAGACCCGGCGACGGGACTGGATGAGGGTGAGTCCGCAGGATGATGAACCCGCCCAGGCGTCTGTGGGAGGCGCCGATGAGGTTGAACCCCCGGCTGAGGATCGAGTTTCGGACTCTCCCCAGCCGGATGACGAAGTCGAGATTCTGGATGAAGCCCCGACGACCAAGCACGAAGGCCTGCTGTCGACTGTCCAAGAAGACGGCGTACTGAACGACGAAGCCGAGACCCGGTCTGCCCCTGCGCCATCCGGTCCGGCCGCGACTGCCCAAGCACCTGCGCTCAAGATTGAAGCCCAATCCAGTCCGGCGCCCTCGGATTCGCGAGGACCCGACGAGACCAAGGCCCAAGTGAGCGAGGCTCAGACTCAGGCGTACGTGGCCGAGCAAGTGCGCCGCTGGGAGCAGCATCGTGAAAGCGCCGTGGTCCCGCTCAAGGTGGAGTATGCCTGGCCCGAGCCGGCACCCGACTTCACCGAATGGTGGGCCGCCGCGCTGGCGACGTCGAAGTACCTGTCGGACCGAATGGCGATGGCAAGTCAAGACGCTGCATGGATCGCGGAGCTTGATTCGGTACGGCTTGAGCTGTGTCTGGCCCAGGATGTCACGGGTATCGTGATTCCGCCGAGCCTTCTCTCGCCGCGCGAGTGCGTTGCGCTCATCCAGTCTCTCCTCTTCGCTGCCGGTGTCAGGTTTCACAACCTGATCCCGATGTGGTTCCAGTCCAAGTCCTCCAGAGTCACACCGAGCCTGGTGCGCTCTGTGGTCGAAGACGTCCAGCATTTCCTCGCGTTCGAGCTGATCGAGTGGCGCGAGCTGGCATCCGGCGTGCCCTTCAAGATCGTACTGGATGCGCCGGACGTTCAAGACCTGACCGGACCGAATGCTGGGAACACTGGATCAACGCCGCAGCAACCTGTGCGAGCACCGATCCTGGACTACCATGCTGAAACAAAGACGGAGATCTATTAATGTCGGATTACGAGGCTGGACTACTGGGTCGCGAGTTTGTCCTGCGTCTACGAGCGGCCGGACTCCGGCGGACACGGAGCCCGCAAGGGTCGTCCACCGGCGAACCGGATTCCAAGCGCCCGCAGTACGGACCGCCTCGCCCGTCGTCCATCCAGTCCGCGTCGTCGATCCCGTCCGGGCCGCCGCTGTCCACACCGTCGCTCTCCTCGCTCCCTTCGTACCATGCATCCAGCGAGTCTGGACGCGCATCCGGTACCGGAGCGCTGGTTCAGTTCGGTCCGCCGTCGCGTTCGCCCTCGGATCTCGATTCGAGCTTGTTCGGTACGACGGCCGGATCCAACGAGTCGACATTCAGTGCGGCATCGGGAGTTCGGTCGTCCAGAGGCAGCTCGTCTTCGTCGTCGTTGTGGTCCGGACACGATGCCGCGAGGCACATGTCCGCGATTGGGTACGGACCCATGGTGATGACCGCACAAGCGGGGATGATTCAGTCCGGCACTGGCGGAGGAACCGTGGAGATCACCCGGAGCGCACTCCCTCGGTCATCGACGGCGGTGGATCAGGACGATGTCGTTTGTCGGAGTTCGATCGCACCACCGTCCGGATTGACCGAAGGTCGAGCGCGTCATCCGGTCCGCGAACGACGTCCAGGCGCGTGAAGCGGAGTCCGTCACCAAGCGAGTCGGATTCCAGCGAGGACGACCGGAGTCGCCGCCGAAGATCGTCGAGGTCGAAGCGCGCACCGAGTTGGTCCAGCAGATCGAGTCGATCCGGTCGGTCCAGCCGCTCCGCGATGTCTGTGATGTCGGGGGCCTCCCAAGTCGCGCTCAATACGATGCGCCAGACTCAGGAAGCCCTTGCCAGGATGGAGCTAAATCAGGAGGTGTCCGCTGCGAACACAGCTCGACTGGGCGAAGGACTCCATAACGCGTTCCACGCGATTCAGGAGCTCGCCGGACGCACCGCTACCCTCCAAGACAGTCGGCAGACCAGATTAGGACAGAATGCTCCGATCCCGGAGCCCAAGATCCTGTCCGGCCCGTCCCCGGTGTCGCCGATCCAGGAGCACAAAGTGGCCGCCGCCATTCAGAGCGCCCGGGCCGAGGCGGCGCGCCTGGAGCGCGAACGCGTTGCCGCGGAGTTCACCGAGCGCTGGAAGCAGCAGGAAGCGCAGGCCGAAGCTGACCGAGCACGCTAGGTCGAAGACGTCCAGCGGGGACTGAACACTCAACTGGATTTATTCCAAGAGAAAGTCCACAAGCTTGAAGCTGAGCGGGAGAGGGAGCGAGAATCTTCCCGGAACATTCCGCGGTTTCAGGCCCACCAGTTGCACAACCTTCGTGCAACACGCCAGGAAAGTCCAGCTGCTCAAGCAACATCGGGACCTGATTCGGTGTCGCAAGTGAAGACAGAGACCGGGCGTGCGACTCTGCACCCGGGTGCAAGTGCGCCTATCCAGTCCGACCAGGCGCCCATCGGGTCTCCGACGCCACGCGCCGACGAGCTTCTAGCAGCCCAACTCCAAGCGACGATCGATGGTGTTCTCAAGGCGCGAGCGACCAAGGCGCGCGCTGCGCAGGCTGCGCCGGCGAAGGGCAAGCGAGATGCCCCCGCGAAGGACGCCAAGAAGTCGCCCGTGAAGGGGGAAGGCTCCAAGGACGCGAGGGACACCGGGTCTGGGGCGCACAAGCGCTCATCCGTTAGGCGGAGCCGTGAGAGCGGTGACCCCTCCGGATCGGACCCGGACTCGAGCTCGGACGACGGCTACGACGAAGGCTACAGCTCCAGCGACTCGGATGACTCGCTGGCTAACGTGCCCACGCACTCCACGTCGGTGACGACACAGGATGGCAAGACGGTGATGAACTTCAGACCGTATGTGAGCTCCAGCTCGCTCGAGGACTTCGACGACAAGGCCCCATACCAGGAACGGACAAGATGGTGGGAGCGATTCCTCGCCCTGACGGTCCAAGGTGGCTGGACAGACAGCATGAAGGTCTACGAGCTACGTTTGAAGCTGCCTTCGTCTGCCCGCAACTGGCGCCAACAACTGCCGAGGCACACACGCGACACCTGGAGTCTGCTGTCCCGCGCGTTCAAGAACAAGTACTGTCGGTCGAAGGTGTCCGATTCGGAGCGATACTATACCATGGCTCAGAAGCGGACCGAATCGGCCCTCGACTACTTCTACCGACTGAATGCTGGGGCGAACAAGGCGAATGTGAACTTCAAGAAGTCGCCGAGGACGCGGGAGATGCACATCAAGCGGTTCATCCGGAACCTCTCCGAATCAAGGTTGCGATCCAGTCTGAAGAGTCAGCGCATACACATCATTGATGACCTGGAGTTCATTCTGCGTCAGCATGAAGAAGACTACCAGGACAGTGAACGCGAGAGCTCGTCCAGACCGCGCGACTTCCGCGCAGACAATCCGCGTCGAGATCGTGATCGAGACCGAGATCGCGAGCGGTACAGACCGAAACCTGCGGGACGTGCTTACATCGCACAGAGCGAAGACGAATCGGATGAGGAGGATCGACACGTGCGCTTTCAAGATGAAGTGGAGAACCGCGCACTGACGACCGCACCGAAGCATGATCTGGTCCCGCCTGCTTCGGCACGACCAGCCGGACCAGATCCAACCCTGGCGGTACTGAATGAAGACGTTCTGCGCAATGCGGTGCTCCGTGTGATGACGGGTTCAGGATGGAAGCCACCGCCGCCGCCGGAGCAGCAGCCAGGGGCGTCGAGATTCGGTCCGTCTTCCGCACCGCCGTCGCCAAGAGGAAGTAATTCGGACTGGCACGAGTTTTGCGAGAAGTGTGAAAGGCCTGGACATCGACAGGAGAATTGCTGGATGGACATCGTGTATGACCGCTGTCGCCGTCGAGGACACCCGATGCGGGTGTGCAAGACCATCCCGTGCAGAATCTGTGGTCGGTTCCATGACGGACTGTGTGGACTTGCGAAGACCGTGGAAGAGCTGAAGAAGCTGGCACAAGAAGGAGCCCTGAAGGACATACCGAAGAACATACTGGATCAGCTGCTGGACGACAAGGCAGATTCAGGTGGGCAGTTAAACCACTAAGCCCGCTGGGTGGGGACCCAGTACGCGCCGGGCGTAAGCCCCCTGAATTGTGTGTGCTAGTCTATGTCGGACCGGAGCTGAGGACCAACAACCAAGATAACTACCAACAATGCATGATTTCTCTGAGCAATGACGACCCGATTCAGTCTGATCAAGTTGACGACCATTCTCTACGGAACCATTCTGGATCGCGAGGACCGGACGGGCAGACCGAATTTCGGCTGGAACCCGGTGAGCGATACGGATGGTGGGTTGATCACGAACCGGATAAGGACTCGCATGAGGTGGCTACGGTACATGGTGCAGTGAACGATTTGCGACTGGAGATTCTGTTGGACACTGGAGCGTCGGTGAGTATGATCAGTTTGGATCTTGCGCGTAGACTCAAGATCAAGCTCAACCGAGGCAAACAGATCAAGGTGTCCGGACTGGGTGGCAAACCCACCTACATCTCTGCCAGCACCCAAGTCAAGATCACGCTCGGTGCGAGAGTGGTCTATGTCATGGATGTCTGGGTCGCGAATATCGGTAAAGGTGTGGATGTATTATTGGGTATGAACTTTATGTTCTGTGCTGGAGTTCGGTTATGCATCCGCGAGGGACTTCTGCAGCTACCGGATGAAGAGCCTGTTCTCATGTACGGAGACAAAGTGCAGCGTCGGCAAGGGATGAGGTTACCGGTCCAAGCGCCGGAGACCCTGTACCTCCGACCTGGTGATGAAGCTGTCGTGCGCATTCGGTTCGGCCAAGCCAACCCGCAACGCATAACGGATCAAAGTGCTGCTCCTCCGCAACAGCATCGTCGTGGATACCGCTGCATACGTACAGCGGAATTTCGTTTGGAGGCACAGTGTTGCCCACGCGGTCTGCGATCTCTGACACAGACGGCATTCACGGATCGCGCGCTGCCTGAGCAGCGCGCGGAGAACTTGAAGTCACCACATCACGTGGGGAGCTTAAAGCCTCAGCAGCAGAGAGCGGAGTGTCGCTCTCGCCGCGCGAACGCTTCGAGCTCGAAGCGTCCGAGTCGTCTCCTTCACGAGGGCGTCTCGACCCGGCATGCGGGTCGAGACTATCGCTGTCGATAGACTCCTTGCGCTTGCTAGAAGAGGCCTCGCCCTCTTCCATCTCCACGTCGTCGTCCTCGAAGTCAACGGCGTCGTTGACTACAGAAGAACCTTCGAGGACAATCTCTGGCTGAGTCGTCCCCGCCGCAGCCTTGGCAGCAAGAGCGTCACGCTTTGCTTTGTGACGCTCGCGGTACTCGGGGATAGAGAGAGTCTCTATCCCCCGGCGGAGGACTTCGCCTCTGCTGCAGCGTCGGTCTTCTTCTGAGGCGAGCTCATTTCGCAATGAGCTCGAGTTTTCTTTCTCCCAACGTGAAGAATTGACGAATGGTCAATTTCCTGATTGACGTGCCGTGACTCGGCGTGTCTAACATTGAGGGGGGGATGGTGTAACAGGGTTACACGCACTAGTGGCTACAGTCACTTGTAACTCTAACAGACGTCGTGTCTGTTAGAGGTTCGAAAGACTTTCTCGACTTTGGTGTAGACACACCAAAGGATACATACATTTACGATCGCCACGACGGGTGGTCCATAGAGAATTAGGATTCCTATTGGTTGAGAGCAGCATCTTTTAGCCAATGAGCGACATGCATAGCATTGGAATTCTGCCAACCAGCCGTTGGCAGATTCCTAGTTTAGAATATTACATTTAGAGGAAGTCAGAAACATAAAACAAAAATAGCAGTTCTCATTTTAACCCAAAAACATTATTTGGATCGTTTATTTAGATTAATCAATCTATACTCGGAGGCCCGAGTATAATTAACTCTAATTTAAACTAAGCTACGCTTCCTCACATACACGCGCACTCGTGTAAGCCAAAGTAGTGAGCCAAAGTAGGTCTATGTAACGATGGAGAGCGACAAGAGGGCCGCACGCACCGATCCAGAGCATTGGAGAGCTCGAAGAGCAGCGGACGCAGCGGTGGAGAACGCACGCGACGGAGGAGCCATTGAGACGAGGAGTAGAAGATGCCTAGACGCTCACCAGTGTCGGAGGTTCGCGTCGAGGCGGGGGCAGTTGTGGTATTGGAAAGTGACAGTTTTCCAACGCTGCTGACCCGCCAGCCCGACAATCAAGTGCGATCAAGGGGCGATCAAGGCAAGGTCAAGCGAGAGCCGGAGATGGCTGTTTCTGATTGGATGATGAATTTATCCTCGGTAGAGTAACAGTCAGTGGTCGAAGCCTCGTTGGGTCCTAATGCAACCCCGAACGAGGCTTCACGGTACCCACTTTTAGGTACAGATGCATTTAGTTACGTACTTCGGCCGCACTTATTAGTGTAGCCGCGGTCGTCATTTGATGTGTCCGGAATCGCCTTATTGCGATCGTTCACACTAGATATTTGTATAGGGACATAGGACTCATCATATGATGACCAGAACGAGGCCCCCAGGGCCTCAGAAAACTCAGTAATAAAAAGACAGTCTTCCCCCAAAGCCAACAAGGGTCAAGTCCGACTTCGGTAAGTGTAGCTAGCTTATTGTAGTGCCTGGACACGCTCGGCTGCGTGTGGATGTCTGTCGGGGAGCTTATCGTGCATTGACCGAGAGTTTCGTTGGCAGCGCCAAGGGTTGGCGTAGCCAGAGAGGCAGGAACGGTATTAGAGTATCGTTCGGTATATATTTGTGGGATTAGAGTATCCCTGAGTGTATCAGTCTACCTACCGAGGTTTTACCTTGGTCCCCCTGTATAAGGCCTAACACGCCGGTACCCTTCCTTTCTGAGGGACTGCAGTGGGGTTGCGCGAAAGCGCTACATAGTATCCTAGCCTTAGCTCGTGGCTAGTGGTACAGGTTTTTGGGTTGACCGAAGATAACCTAAGGTGCACAGAGGCGCTTGCAACCGACCCGGTGTAAGGGATCGTTCCTGGTCTTCAGGTTTTGATCCAATAAGTGCTTACCTTTGCGGGTTAGCGTGTTGTTGGTGTCTCTAATACCTTTTGGTAGAAGGGAATTTTAGTGGTATTACCACACCACACAAGAGAGGCCGGCGAAGGCTGGGAGCGTGCTGTGTGCTCGTGGCACGGCTCCTGGGACTACTTGGCAGGTGCCTAGGTAACCACTGTGTGGTGTAGTGGATGGAGATATTTTCGCGCGGATACCCAAGATCAACAAGATGACCAAGATCGACAGTGTGGACCAAGATCGGCAAAGCGTGGCGACGCGTAGTCTGGCACGATAGTAACCAGCAAGAAGGTCAAGGGGGCAACATCAAGGTGAACAACATCTCTGGAGGTGCTTGAGAGCCAAACCCCGGCGTAATCGATCCAAGTCGACGATATCGATCTTGGCGGGGATGACGCGATTTTGGAGAAAGAGTGATGATCTCGACCGCACGGATTGCGCAGACACCGGGCAGAGAGCCAGCGACACCACCAACGTTCAAGGGAGCTAGAGAGCACGCGCACAGACCGCACGAGCGCAGGAGTGCAGGAGAACGATAGGACAAGGACTTAGGACAAGCTAACATTTTAAACAGAGTTGATTTTACCTCCTTCTTCACAAGTGGTCTTCGCCTTCGCAATACCGGGCACGGGATATACTTTGGCCCACCCGACGCTACGCAAGTCGACTTACACCCCAAGATCAAGGAACCAGGATAGCTTGGCCCAGCGTCCGTCAACCCTCACTTCGACCCACCGCTAGAGGAAGCGGCAAGCAAGGAAAGGAAAGGAAGGTCACACACCGACCACAAGGCAACCCCAGGCCAAGATCACACCTGACCGGCGAGTGTCGATCTAGACAACCCCAGATCGAAACCGCCACAACTACTCCGGCACAGCGTGAAGCATATCCGCGTTGCTGCCACAAGTTCCCGCTGTCCACCAGACAGTCCAAGACTCAACCCCAAGCGCGTCTTCTCGAGATCGCCCGAAGAGCGATCCAGCCCACCGACGGGTACACAAGGTGAGGATCAGCAACTTCACGGAAGATCGGAGTACCCCCTCCGTTAGTCGGCAGTTCGGGCGCCGTGTGCAAGAGGACCCCCGCGATCTGCAAATTTCGCGGATCCACTTCGCCACAATGGTGCGCGTGCCCGGATTCGAACCAGGGATTTCACCGTGAGTCCCTCCAAGAGTATGCGCAAGCCGAGTTTGGACAAGGGAATGAAGCGTCTACAGAGATCGGATCGGCGTCGACGCCGCTGAAACATGATCGATCCGCGGATCGGCAGAGCCTAGGGAGGAGCTCTACCGACGGGACAGAGGAAGGCCCGGCAACGGGCCTAGAAGAAAAGCCTCAACCTCCTCCCCAGGTCCCCTCGGGGACCCCCGCAGGGCACGATGCGAATCGTGGCCTGCCGGACGAAAGTCCGCCGGCGCAAGCCGGAACCCAACCACCCAGCGCTAGATCGACCAAGAAGAAGCCAGCAAGATCGAAGTCGTCGCGGAAGAAGATGAAGGCTCCAGACTCCGATGCTGACGGTCGAGCCGATCTCACACTGACCGTGGCTGAGGATCAACTCGCTGTAACGTACTACAAGAAGGAGCTGCACGCTTTCCTGCTTCAGGACGATGTGATGAAGCTCCTCCGGCCAAAGCTCCTCGGCGATCTTGCGGGACCGGTGTCACAGCCGACCCCTGGATCGGACAAGTTGGATGCCGTTCAGACGCTGCTACGACTCTTCAAGGAAGTTGGTATCATCGCAGGAGTGCTGGATGCGGAAAGCCTGTTCGATCTGAAGCTCAGCACGATCCGAACTCGGCCCAAAGGCTGTTCCTGCTACTGAAGCCGTTAGTCGGTGAGTCGAGTCGATCCTTGACAGAAACATCAAGATCGCCCCAGACGCTATCGAGATCGACACCCGCCAGATCGACACCTGCGCCCAACCCGGGTGGCCAAACTCCGACGTCATCTCCGTACGTGCCTGCAACGGAAGACGTGGAATCTGACAGTGTCGATGACCCGCCACCGCGCATGACGCTAGGCCCTTCCGGTGTCGCTATGTTAAGAAGTCGAGCTGAACGTGCTGAGCGTGAGGTGGTTGTGCCAACGCGAGAGCCGAAGGGCGTAGCAACTTCAGTGCGACACTCCCCGGAAAGACTCGAGTCGTTCTTCCAAGCAGCCATGGAACGTTTTTTGAAGGAGCAGCAGCTACTTGGTGTCGCGCTGAAGTCGCGACGACCGAAGATCAAGATGTGGAGATGGAGTCGGTTGGATGACCAAACCGACACTCTGCGTCAGGGGAGTTTGATCCTGACGACCTCGATCTCAGTTGGCCTATCCGCGCGGCGGTAGCAACAACGGCTACTGCTTCGCCTGGAGGAACTGGGACCGCACCACGCATTCGTGTGTGTGCAATGTCGGAACTGAAGGAGTTTTCCGGAAAGGACGGCGACGAAGATCGAGCTCGATCTTGGGTCAGCAAGGTAAGATCGGCTTTCGTCTGCGATTAAGCGCCTGATGATGAGAAGTGTCTGGCGTTTGGTGATTTGCTCACTGGTCCAGCGCGAAACTGGTATAGGCAGCTGAGCCGAACAACTCGCACCACGTGGAAAGACCTGCTCCAGAGTTTCCAGGTCCAGTATTGTGGGCGTGGTGTCTCGGTTGCCCGCCAGTACTACCATGCTCGGAAACGATCTGACGAGTCGCCTCTGGAGTACCTCCACAGGCTCAGCGTCGCAGGCCTGCGGACACGTCTACAAGTCAAGGACGGACCGCCAGACGTGCGCCGGGAACATGTGGAACACTTTATCGAGACTTTGGATGACCGCGATCTAGCGGACCAGCTTGCCCTGCTTCGGATTCCCGACGCGGACACTCTGGAAGAAGTTTTGCGATCTCGCCAGCGTGCCTAAGCGCGACAGAGCAAGACGGTGTACGGCTCGATTAAGCCCCGCGCGAAGCCGCAAGCCGCCGCCGGTGCTCGCGCGGTACGAGCGATTCATGTGCAGAGCGACAGCAGTGACTTGGATGCAGGATCCAGCGACTCGGATGAAGAGGGAGATCTGCGCCGAGTGTACGCGACTTCAGCCAGTAACGATCATGGAACGACTGAACATCGCTCGGCCGGCCGAGATCGGCGTCCACCGGATCAAGATCGAGACCGTCAAGATCGTCGACCGGGACATCTCTCTAAATCGATCGACATGGGGCCGCCCCTCAAGCGGTGCACTCATTGCGGGTCTACCAAACACGACGATCTGGGATGCTGGAAGCGGCTGACGTGTGAAAAATGTGGCAAGCATGGTCACCCGTCAGATCGCTGTCTCTTTGTCTGCAAGGCCTACGGCGAAATCCACGACGAAGGAAGCTGTCCGATGGAGGAATTTTACAATTTGATCCGCCAGTGGTACAATCCCACCAAGCACGGGGGCATGCTGCCCGAGTCCGCGGAGAAGATGTTAAACTAGGACGCTCGCCGGGTTGGAATCCGGTACGAGACGAGCGTTCTCAGTTCTGCATCTTTGCGTATGTCGAGAAGCAGTTGCAGTCGACTGTAAGCAAACTCATCGACAATACATGTGATCGTCAAAAGAAACCTACGGCTGCCATGTCAAGTCTTCACCAAGTTGATGACTACTCAAGATCGAGCGTGAAGATGGCTTTGGATATCGCGTTGGGGGAGTCGCGTGGTTACTGGAAATACCATGTGCCTGACAAGAAGTTCAAGCAAGCGAAAGCTATGGGCAAGATCAACAACGAAAAAGCTACTCTGTTGTTTGACAGTGGTGCCGAAGTGTCTATCCTAGACACCGCCTTTGCTCGTAAGGTGGGGTGCTACATTGACGAAAGTCAGACATTGGAGTGCGAAGGCGTCGGAAAATCTCCATACATGGCGGAAGGACGTGCACGGGCCAAGATCACGCTCGCTGGATCACTTGTGTATTTTTTCGATGTTTGGGTGGGTCCGCCGACCGGCGGTCAGGACTTAATCATCGGCATGGACTTCATGGTACCGGCGGGTATCCGCCTCGCTCTTGCCGACGGGACAATCTGCCTGCCAGACGAAGTGCGGATCCAGCTCGCTGGGAGACGTCCGCTCTACGGAGACAAGGTGGAGCAGGTGACCTTGACCGGTTACCGCGAGATCGACATAGCGGGATCCGTTGAGGTGAAGCTGCGCACAAGATCAACAGAGCATCAGAAACTCTGGGTTACGCGCGGCGATCGGTGGGTGCCTACCGTGACTGGTGGACCGGACAAGATCCGCTACTTGCAACTGACAAACGTGAGCGATCGCGAGTTAGTGCTGCATCAGGGTACGCGACTCGCGATGTGGCTGGCCGGAGATCGAGTGCCGCGCTCACCTGGGTATGTCTCCGTTGGATCTCGCAGGTACGCGGAGTGGCAGAACTTGGCGTACCAAGCAACCACCGACACTACCAAGGACGTGCCTGAGCCCGCCGACGTGCAGGGGTCTGCTGTGGAGCGGCCGCAGTACACAACGGCGATCTTGACCCGGCCAGCGAAGAGAGCAGAGGTGGCCACTGTGCACACCGAGTGCGTGGCGTCCAAGCGCCCCAACGATTCCAACCCGGAAGAGTCGTACGGCAACCCCACCGCGTCTTACTCGACGCCCGGCAGGGACGAGCAGCCCAAGAATAGCGACGAATTCGGCACGGGAGGAACGCGCCATGATTTCGCCACTTCGCAGGGGGCGGAGAGACCATCGGGTGATTACGACGCTGGGAATACAGCCTGCGGCACGGATTGTTTGGAAGATCAAGGCTGCGATCGGCCCCAGCCGGTGTGACATGGTGCATCTAATCAAGATCGAGTGGTTGCGACGGGCGCAAATCAGGCGTCTCATCATGATTACGGTGGTGCGACAGGCGTAAATCAGGCGTCTAATCGAGATCGACGGGTCGAAACGGACGAAACCCCAGCGAGCCCCAGCGTCAGTCACGAGACGCGTAAACACGTGTCGGGAAGTGATCTTGAAGCTGATCCACGTCCAAATGCAGTTGACCTGGAAGATCCTGGAGTCTGCATCACGGAAGGCGGTGATCTCTACGCGGAAGATGTCGAAGGTCAAATGGCAGTGCTCCCGGAGTTCACCGCGACTGACGAAGTCGTGATCACGGATATCCAAGTTGGTGATCCTGGCGAAAACACGCCGGAGGAAATCGACCGGCTGCGGAAGATCATCTGGCGCCGGAAGCACTTGTTTATTGGAAAGGGCAATGCCTTACCACCGGCCGCAAAAGGTGCGATCTGCGACATTGACGTTGGAAACGCGAAGCCAGTCGCTCACCGTTGCCGTAAAGTGGCGCCGCAGTACCGCGAGAAGCTGGAGCAGCTAATCAAGGGGCTCCTGTCGGCCAAGATGATCAAGATCTCAACGTCCCCTTGGGCATCACCTATCGTGGTGATCGTCAAGAAGAACGGGGTCGACGTCAGACTCTGTATTGACTACCGTCTGGTCAACAGTCTGACACGTTTAATGGTCTACCCGATGCCGCTGATCAACGATCTTCTCGAGGATCTCGACAAGGTGCTCTGGTATTGCTCGCTGGACATGGCTAGCGGCTTCTGGGTGGTAACGATGACAGATCGAGCTCGTGCGATCTCCGCGTTCATCACTCCATGGGGACTCTACGAGTGGAACCGAATGCCATTTGGACTGAAGAACGCGCCACAGATCTATCAGCGGCTGATCGACAACGCACTCTACGGCTTCCTCAAGATCACGGACAACCAAGATCGACAGGGACAGATCGATCTGTTCAAGGACGGAGAACCGAACGTAGAGCAGAAGACATCTGTCCTGGGCCGTCGATCTTATATCGATGACATCTTGGTCACGGCCGGTTCGTGGGATACGCTGTGTGAGAAGGTGGAGAAGCTGCTAGATGTCTGCGAGGAATGGAACTTGTCGATCAGCGTGACCAAGAGCTTTTGGGGATTGAAGAAGGTCGACTACTTGGGACATCGAGTATCTGCGGAAGGACTGGAAGCTCACCCGAAGGATCTATCAGCATTGGCCAATCTGCCGTTTCCGACCACCCTGAGATCGATGCATTCATTCGTAGGCAGTATCAACTACTACAGCAGGTTCATCGAGGACGTCGCGATCTACGCTTCAGTGCTGTACGAACTTCGTGAGGCCGACTTCTACGAGATCACTCGGAAAGCCAAGATCGAGGTCGGCGCAGATGTAGTCGAAGCTGGTGAACGCCAAGCTAACAGTGACAAGTGGGGTCGAGCCATCACGGCATTTACGGTGTTGAAGGACAAGATCGTGAAGGCGCCGATCCTGCAGCACTTTGACCCAGATCGGGAACCAGTGGTCGTAGTGTACGCCAGCAAGTGGGCGATCTCTGCGGCGTTGATGCAGGAGCACGATGGGGTGTACAGGCCAGTCACCTTTATCAGCCGCACGCTCAAGCCGAACGAGATCAACTATGGAATGGTGGATAAGGAGGTGTTGGCACTGCTCCGGATGTTGGATGTCTGCTACACGCAACCGGTTACCAGATCGATCAAGGTCCTGACCCGATACTCAACATTGGCGTGGCTGGTGCATTCTTCCGGTTTGCAGGGACGCCTTGGCCGGTGGGCGGCGCTACTGTCGTCGTGGACATTGGAAATCGTGAAATGCACGAAAGGAGAAGATGAGATCTTGGGAGTAATAGCCGCAAGTATCACGCCCCGAGAAGATGTCGATTCAATCCTAACGTCGATCTCTCCTCGGAAACGACCGCGACAAGCTGTTACGATGCCGCCTCCTACAGTGGAGATTGATGAAGAACTGTTGGTGGTTAGCTTTGATGGATCGGCTCGTGTAAAGCGAAGTGGGGGCGCTTACAGCGCGATTGTGTGGGGCTTGCGCGACTGGAAGGTAATCTCCGCCGCATCTGAGTACAAGATCGATCTAACGGTGAATGAGGCGGAGTACCATGGATTGCTCCTCTGTTTCGATCTTCTAGCCAACCTGGACAGGGGGCGGCGCCTAATTATCGCGACTCCAACTTGGTGATCCGTCAGATGCGTGGAGAGATCGAGTGCAAGGCTCCGAGTTTGGTACTACTACGTCAGAAGGCCATGGAACGATTGCGATCTTGGCCCAACCACGAATTTCTTCACATGAAGCGTAGAGTGCCGATCGACTTGCAAGCGCAGCACTACAACGGGAAGGTGGATCAGTCGTTACAACAGACGGAGAACGCGAAGATCTGGGGACGCTCAACCGGCTCGACGAATTATTGGTTCCTCGATCTGACGCGGCGGCGATCAAGATCGCGGCGGTTACGAGATCAAGGAGACGAGCAGCCCCACAAGTGTTGGATGAGTTGATGGTACAACGAATGCAGACGGAGCGCATCTGCCAGGCCCAGGATGAAGAGAAGTGGATTGCCGATCTCAAGAAGTATCTACTTGGGGACGTGCAGGACCTTACCTCGGCAGAGGCTAAAGCGTGTGCCAAGATTGCCGATGACTACGAGGTCGACGAAGCTGGATTGCTGTTCTACTGCCCGCCATCGAAGCGCTCTGATGAAGGTCGTGATCTTGTGATGCGGCTGGTGATCCCGGAGGCCTTGCAGCAGGACTTCCTACACCATTATCATGCCAGTCTCGAGGGTGGCCACCAAGGCATTGGAAGAACCTACCAGCGGATTCGTGCCCATTTTCACTGGAGAGGCCTCTACCAAAGTGTACAACGATACGTGGGGCTGTGCGTGGACTGCGAGACCGTGGACTGCGAGACCGGGAAAGGGAGGCCGACTACACAAGGGGGATCTCCCGGTAATCTTCAGGCTACCTACCCGTTCCAGATCATTGCCATGGACCACATCCCGTCATTACCCAAGTCGTACAAAGGGAACACCGAGTTGTTGATCTGGATCGATCTTTTCACGGGATTAGTGATTGCAAAGGCCAGCTCGTCTAGAACAGCCCAAACGATCGCTGAGAACTACGAGGAGTGCGTGTTTCGCCGGTTTGGCGCTAGCGAAGCGATACGACATGACCGCGAGCCAGGATTTATGTCGGATTTCTTCAGATCATTCAACAAGATTGTCGGTCAGAGGCAACGTGCAACTATGGCGTACCGGCCTCAGGCCAACGGTACTGCTGAGAGGAAGGTGCAGACGCTCACTCGCGCCCTGAAGATGTATGTCGAAGACATCAACCAGCGAGATTGGGACGAGTACGCGGAGCGCCTTACTTTTGCGCTCAACACGGCCCAAGATCGGATTCGTGGAGACACACCCTTCTACCTGATACATGGGTGGGACCCTCGATCTACTCTGGAGGCAATGGTACCGCTGGGATCGACGCGCCGGCGGGATCGACAGCCTCGCAGGTGGCGCTATCATGTCCAGAAGCAATATCAGCAGGCTCGGCAGCAAGTCAATGAGCGCCTACGTGAGGCAATCCGAGATCGAGCTGACCAGCACAACGAATCGGCGCGCCCACACGAGATCGAGGCTGGAATGCAGGTGTGGCTGTATCTCGACCGAGTCAAGGAAGGCTACGCGCGTAAACTTGCGCACATGTGGCATGGCCCCTTCCGTGTAGTTGAGGTCGTCGACACGCACGCTGCTCGCCTCGAGATCGCAGGGACCGAGTATCGACTGTTCCCAATTGTGCACGTGTCCAAGCTGAAGCCCGTTCGCACCTTCCCAGACCGACCACACCTCACCCTGACGATCCAAAACCAAGATCGACTCGACTTTGACGAGGCACTGCTCCCGGAAGATAGTTGGGAGGCGAATCTTGAAGACGACGAGTATGAAGTGGAGCGTATTGCCGACATGCGATCTGGCCGGCGTACACGGTATGGACGGGTGCTGCGGGAGTTATTGGTACACTGGAAGGGATACGACGAACCATCGTGGATCGACGAAGCGGATTTGAACGGTGGAGCCCTGCTACATGACTACTTGCGTCAGCGATCGAATCGACATCGGTTCGAAGTCATGCAGTCGCACGAGGAGCAGTAGTGCGGCGAGATCGTGCGGTGAGTTGGTCGTCGCATGGGCAACGAGGTGAAGGGCTTGCAAGGTGGTTGCAAGTCAGGCGGAACGGAGGTGTATGTGCCTGTGTTGGTCGCGATGCCATGGAGGTGTGAAGCAACGATTTCGAGGTGGGGAGATGTCACAACGACAAGATAAGTTGGGTCAGTAAGGTTCGATCTTAACTCGGTGATCTTCGGCTGTGCGATCTTGGGCGGGCCTGTGGACTGCCGACGTGGAAGGAGAAGCTGCTTGGGGGCGACGATGCGACGGATCTGTTGTGCCATGAGGTGACCAGCAATCAGCGCGGTCTCAAGCGCTAGGGTCGCAACGGCGACTCGTTGACACTGGTAAATTGATATCTGGAGCATCAGCGTGAATGCGAATATGGACCATAACGCCATGTCAGCGGTGCGCAGACCATGAATGAGAACTGGTGCAGCGAGCGAATGCCGTTGCGCAGCTTTCACTCGTACAGGGGACGGCTGTGGTGTAGTGGATGGAGATATTTTCGCGCGGATACCCAAGATCAACAAGATGGCCAAGATCGACAGTGTGGACCAAGATCGGCAAAGCGTGGCGACGCGTAGTCTGGCACGATAGTAACCAGCAAGAAGGTCAAGGGGGCAACATCAAGGTGAACAACATCTCTGGAGGTGCTTGAGAGCCAAACCCCGGCGTAATCGATCCAAGTCGACGATATCGATCTTGGCGGGGATGACGCGATCTTGGAGAAAGAGTGATGATCTCGACCGCACGGATTGCGCAGACACCGGGCAGAGAGCCAGCGACACCA